TACAGATGTGCTGGAGCAGTATAACATAGGATTTTACAGATGTGCTGGTACAGTATAACATAGGATTTTACAGATATGCTGGTACAGTATAACATAGAATTTTACAGATATGCTGGTACAATATAACATAGGATTTTACAGATGTGCTGGTACAATATAACATAGGATTTTTACAGATGTGCTGGTGGTACATGATGACATGGTATTATACAGATATGCTGGTACACTATTTTATAGGATTTTACAGATATGCTGGTACACTATTTTATAGGATGTTATACTTATACCTTGTCAAACAAAATCCACACTTACATATAATAGTACTTTGGAGTCAGAGTGGCTTGAAAGCACATCATCCACGCCCGTCTTTAAAAGAGCCACATCTTTTCCAGGTGATCCCTGTATGATTTTTATGGCCCTATTTTGGGTGGGGGGTTGAAGAGTAGAACTGCTGCCCTTATATATCCCCAGCCCTCTTGTTCCTGAACATGCATGTTGTACAAGGCAACTGATTATGTATATAATTGCAGAAATCAGATGTGTTGGCTTGAAAGGGGCAGATACTGGAGTCTAGCTGTAAACCACAGCACATCTGGCCCAACCAGCCTTTGAAAGAAGAAGAAGATTTCCAGATGAAAAGCAGTGCATGATATAAACCCAGTGTTGTTGTACAGTGTATGGAATGGATTATCAGAATGACTTTATGTGATTGTGTATCAGCATGAGGAGTTACAGCAAAAGTCATATCTACACAAGTGTTCTATTTATGAATCATCTGTATGTGTATATAAGTTTTGTAACCTACTTGTCTGTCCGTTTCTTTGTGGCTACAACACGTAAATACGACATACCTACGAAATAAATTTAATAAGAAAATAGTTGGTTAACGTGGGGAGAATATAAACTTGTAGACACAAAATTTTATATTTGAAGAGGCGATGAGCACCACCAAGCATTTTGATTGCATACTGAAATGTCTGAAGGTTAATTGATACAAGAACCCACTGCATATTGCCTCCGGTGTTGTTGAGTTTGTTATTGGAATACATTACCAGGAAAACACTAGAAAGTCAGGTCAAATCTATATCCGTTGGTGGAATACCACTGTCAGTTTACTTTTTAAAGGCGACATTGATCTTATGGCTGATTCTTAAGCAGAACTGCAGAACTAGAAATTGTCTGTAGTAAATATAGCATGGAAATAAATGCCGAGAAAAAATAAGTCATAATAATCAGCTACATATCAATGTATACAGATAAAAGGGAAGAAAACTAGAAGTTGAAACCTTTAAATACCTCAGCTCCTACAAATATAACGATAGAAACTACCACCGAGATCAGGACAAGATGTGATATGGCAACAGCTGCAATGTCCAAATGGCAACAGCTGCAGTGTCTGAATGGCAACAACTGCAGTGTCTGAATGGTAACAGCTACAGTGTCTGAATGGCAACAGCTGCAATGTCTGAATGGCAACAGCTGCAATGTCCAAATGGCAACAGCTACAGTGTCTGAATGGCAACAGCTGCAGTGTCTGAATGGTAACAGCTACAGTGTCTGAATGGCAACAGCTGCAATGTCTGAATGGTAACAGCTACAGTGTCTGAATGGCAACAGCTGCAATGTCTGAATGGCAACAGCTGCAATGTCTGAATGGCAACAGCTGCAATATCTGAATGGCAACAGCTGCAATGTCTGAATGGTAACAGCTACAGTGTCTGAATGGCAACAGCTGCAATGTCTGAATGGCAACAGCTACAATGTCTGAATGGCAACAGCTGCAATGTCTGAATGGCAACAGCTGCAATGTCTGAATGGCAACAGCTACAATGTCTGAATGGCAACAGCTGCAATGTCTGAATGGCAACAGCTGCAATGTCTGAATGGCAACAGCTGCAATGTCTGAATGGCAACAGCTGCAATGTCTGAATGGCAACAGCTGCAATGTCTGAATGGCAACAGCTGCAATGTCTGAATGGCAACAGCTACAATGTCTGAATGGCAACAGCTGCAATGTCTGAATGGCAACAGCTGCAATGTCTGAATGGCAACAGCTGCAATGTCTGAATGGCAACAGCTGCAATGTCTGAATGGCAACAGCTGCAATGTCTGAATGGCAACAGCTACAATGTCTGAATGGCAACAGCTGCAATGTCTGAATGGCAACAGCTGCAATGTCTGAATGGCAACAGCTGCAATGTCTGAATGGCAACAGCTGCAATGTCTGAATGGCAACAGCTGCAATGTCTGAATGGCAACAGCTACAATGTCTGAATGGCAACAGCTACAATGTCTGAATGGCAACAGCTGCAATGTCTGAATGGCAACAGCTGCAATGTCTGAATGGCAACAGCTGCAATGTCTGAATGGCAACAGCTACAATGTCTGAATGGCAACAGCTGCAATGTCTGAATGGCAACAGCTGCAATGTCTGAATGGCAACAGCTGCAATGTCTGAATGGCAACAGCTGCAATGTCTGAATGGCAACAGCTGCAATGTCTGAATGGCAACAGCTGCAATGTCTGAATGGCAACAGCTGCAATGTCTGAATGGCAACAGCTGCAATGTCTGAATGGCAACAGCTGCAATGTCTGAATGGCAACAGCTGCAATGTCTGAATGGCAACAGCTGCAATGTCTGAATGGCAACAGCTGCAATGTCTGAATGGTAACAGCTGCAATGTCTGAATGGCAACAGCTGCAATGTCTGAATGGCAACAGCTGCAATGTCTGAATGGCAACAGCTGCAATGTCCGAAATGAACACAATGTGAAAGAGCAAACTCAGTATAGCGGTAAAGGCTAGCATATACAAATTCCTGGTACTGTGGAACTCTCACTGGGGCAATAGAAAGTAGGATTTAGGCTTTTTAATATAAATGCTGTAGAAGAACTCTACGAATTATTTATTTAGAACATAAAACAACAGATGTAAGAGGCAAAAGTTAGCAAATTTACAGGAGACCAGGATTCTCTTCTGGCATTGGTGAAATGTTACAAGCTAGTTTTGTTTTCACACATGATGAGACATGATTCGATTGCAAATACTACTTCAAGGAAAAAAATAAAACAAAGTGAAAAGTAGATCCGTGAGCTTCATAACATAACAAACACAAACAAAACATTATCTTTGCAGCTGTAGAGCCTTCATTAGCACATACCTTGTCAAACAAAATCACTTAACTGAGCATCTAAAAGAAGGCCCTTTAAGGAGCATTAGCACATAGATAAGAAGATGGGGAAAAAAAAGAACCTGGAATGTCAACATCAAGAAATAAACGGAACTAAATTATTATGCACTTGTTTAACATGCAAAAGACAGAGAAAGATGGTAGATTTTTTGTGCTAGTACTTCCATCAATACACCTCCACGATACTAACAGGTCATGGGTTATGTTATGTTGTGTATGTGCATATATGTACTGCAGATTGAGTGGATCCACAAAGAAGAGGTCATGTACAAGTTTCCCCCATCAGAATATCCAGATCTAGACTTTATTGTTGCTGCCGTGGAACCGTTCTCCAAGTTCTTCAACACAGTGCTCAAGTGGCAGCGCTGTGAGAAGAGGTAAGGAGTTTGTTTCTGGCTGTGTACATGGTATCAGCTGCAAGGATCTCAGTTCAAATGCTTAAAATTTTACTGGGTATTTCTGGACATGGTCAAGGGGTAATAGGTTACCTTTCTAATAACCATAAGATATGTGATCTATCTCTGGCCAATACAAAGGTTGTTTGGTCATCTTTTTTTCTCCCCCATTGTGCATAGAGTTTTCTAAAGAAAAAGGTGGTTAGTCTTATGCCATCTTAGTTCTCTTCTGCAGCATGCATTGTTACTTTTTTTTAACGAGCGCAGGCCTTAATTATGAAGTGAGTCGCCTCTGTATAGTCATTTATTTTACATATAAGAGCTGACTTATTATGGATGTTTCCTTCGAAGTCAGAATGCATCTGCCTGAGAGTTATGGAACCAGCAGTCTGCATACAAATAATCCATATTTGAAAAACTCAGGTTTTAAAATGAGACCAAAGTCCAGAAGTGGATAAAAACCATAGCTTTCCACTGGAATGTACATCACTTGAACCCGAACAAGAAGTAGATATAAACATAACGTTTGTTGCTGCTCTCAGAATGTTGCCCAGTGCAGCTGTAGATCTACATGCCTAGATACAGCCTTGGATACATGGGTGGGTCGTTGTCTACTTGCAGTGAAATCAAAAAGCCCAGTCTTTACATTTGATGGACACTGCATGGGAAAGAGGGCTTTAATGTTATCCCTCAGGCCAGGTAGATCCTGGTTGGCAACAACTACAGTATCTATACAGTCACATTGATCTGCAACAGTAGTTATTTTACTGCTGGCCTGATAGCTCAAACTTTGCCTGTGGAAAGTCCGGCTGGAATGGAAAGCTCACATCACCCCCCCCCCCTTACATTTTGTCAGATAGAAGCTTCTGTCTAAAGCTGGATATTGCAGATTCAAGTTCTTCTTATTATATCTAAAAAAATGTTTAATTTATTTCAAAATATTTGTGTATTGCCGTGTCAGCTACAGTAAAATACTGAAGTTTATTTGTGAAGAGTGGTTGGTCAAACCTATGGCTCGGCTCTCATTCAGGAGACCTGGGTTCAACTTACTGATGAGATTGTGGAGATTTTGTTTTGCTAGGGAAAAAATCCTCTAATTTAGTTCATGCTGACTGCACTAGTTTTGCTAGCTTTTCCTAAACTGTCATAAAAATATGGTAAATTTGGCAGTAAGAAAGTTTGCACCTTGGTGAAACAGACAATATGTGAATGTAGTCAGGTTTATGTTTCAGTTCGAAGGTTTCATTTATTTGCTTCATTTTAATCAATTGTCACTGTAGCAGGCACCTGATGAGATACAGCGAAATCTGGCAGGCAATAAATTGTACAATCTGTTGTTTGTGTCTTCTTTGTTCAAGGCAAAGAAAGTAATGTATTTGTGATCACTACAAATGCATGCAGTGACAATTTTTCAGGTGCATGGATGGGGACTTTATGGATCAAAACGTGGAAGCCATCGCTGCTGAAGTGGAAGAGTATGCCAGAGATTTCTTCAAGATTCAGAAGATATTTGCTCAACGAGTCAAGAAAATGCAGGTATGTTTTGACAGCGGCGTCAGTCAGTGAGCCATTTTGGTAATGAGGGTAGTTATCTAAAAGAGTGTTTAGAGATGAGAGCATTGCTTTGAGATTTTGTGTTGTGGGACCTATTTTCTCTACAGTGCGGCTGTTTGCTCGTCTCACAAAACTTTGCTGTTTGAGCAACTACACCTGAGGATTTTTGAAGTACCTGCACTTACAAATCCAAGTTTGGGGGCCAGATTTGAACCTTGAACATTTAGTGTATGCAGCAAATGACTATCCACAGTCTTTGGAGTTTGAGGCAAATGAATTAACTAATTTATCAGCCATATCCCAAATCAGTAACATAGCCAGTTTAAAACCTTGATCTAGGGTTTATTCTCTAGAAGTGGTAAAATAGTATTGTGTGTGTGTGCATGCATTCATACCCCACTCCCTCACATACACACACGCACGCACGCACGCACGCACACATCCCCCAACCCCACCACCACCACCACATGCTCTGTGATTGATATAGGTAAGAATAAATTTTTCAGTAAAGAAAGTTGATTATCCAACAGCATTGGAAAATGCAGATCTAGACTGAAATGTTGGTGCTGTGCAAGCATTTGTCAAATCTGAGGATCCTGTAGTAGCTCATAAATATTCTGTAGTGGCCTTTTTATTTGCCTGCAATCTGTTCTACCCTTTGTTGTGGTGTTACGTGAAGAAAAAATGGGAATTGTGTTGTCAGTATCATGATGGATTAGTTCTGCTTCAGTCAGCACCCTGGGTGTTTTCTTAGGAATTGTGTTTCAGAAGTATCAGTAGAACTTCACAGTGTCATGATGCTACAGACTATGATACCTTTCAAAAAGTAAAAAATAAAAATTTGTAAATTGCTGCACTGCCCTGATATTTTTCTATCAGTATGTCTCCAACTGGTATGGCTCCAACTGGTATGTCTCCAACTGGTATGGCTCCAACTGGTATGGCTGCAACTGGTGTGGCTGCAACTAGTAGGGCTGCAACTGGTATGGCTGCAACTGGTGTGGCTGCAACTAGTAGGGCTGCAACTGGTATGTCTCCAACTGGTAGGGCTGCAACTGGTATGTCTCCAACTGGTATGGCTGCAACTGGTATGGCTGCAACTGGTATGGCTGCAACTGGTATGGCTCCAACTGGTATGGCTCCAACTAGTATGGCTCCAACTGGTATGGCTCCAACTGGTATGGCTGCAACTGGTATGGCTGCAACTGGTATAGCTGCAACTGGTATGGCTTCAACTGGTATGGCTGCAACAGGTATGGCTCCAACTAGTATGGCTCCAACTGGTATGGCTGCAACTGGTATGGCTGCAACTGGTATAGCTGCAACTGGTATGGCTTCAACTGGTATGGCTGCAACAGGTATGGCTGCAACTAGTAGTGCTGCAACTAGTAGTGCTGCAACTGGTATGGCTGCAACTGGTAGCGCTGCAACTAGTTTGACTCAAAGTGGTATGGCTCCAACTGGTATGGCTCCAGCTAGTGTCCCGCCAACAGACATGGCTCCAATTGGTATGGCTGCAACCAATATGGATACAAATGAAAGCCATTACCCTTATGCTCAAAGAAGCTGAAATTTAGATTTTGACATATGTTACTAATCTCTTAGTAGCCAATATTTAGACTTTACGGCATTCACCAATCTAGGCTATGCCTTTTATTAGCTTGTTGACTGTTTGCCTGTCTGCATGCAGTGTTTAGAGGGGCTATTGATGTGGTTCTACTTAGTTCAGAAGCATTGGGCGAGGGGGTGGGGAATCGTGAACAAATTGTTTCCTGTTATTAGTGGTTGCAGAGCGTTGAGGTCACTGAATGAGTCACCATTGACATTGTGGGGGACATTCATTCAATTTTCAACTGCATTCATGTTTATTGATTATTCCCCTTCATATATTTCAAACCATTGTAAAAAAATATGGAAATAAAAAAAAAATAGAACTTTTAAAGATTTTCTTCTGGTAATTGGCAGTTCCCCAGTTGTTTCTGGTGGGGAAAAAAAGGTTAAACAGATTAAAGAAATTAAACACAGACAGACCTTATTTTATGGATAAGTTATGAGAAGGAATAAACTCGGGCAAGTTGCAACAGGCAGAGGAAAATCACAGAAATAAAAACCAAGATTACTTGGGCAGGAACGGAACACAGGCTTGATCTCTGATGAGGTCTTCACTGTTGACCCTAGAATTCATAAAGTAAAGGACTCATTTCCCCACCTTCAGTCATATTGGGCTGATAGGGCTAGACCTATATTTTATAAATCCATCTGCACTCGTTAGGCAATATGGTCAACATCACACCAGCCGCCTTTACTTCCAACTTACCTGCTAGCCATTTAAAGCCAGGTCGACCTGGGAAAAAAAAAATGACAGCATCTTAAAATCAAACAGGTATTTTAATGATTGTTTATTCTGGGAGACATGGATATAAATGATTGTTTATTCTGCTAGACTGATGGATTTAAATGATTGTTTATTCTGTGAGACAGATGGATTTATACGATTGTTTATTTTGGGAGACAGATAGATTTAAATGATTGTTTATTCTGGGAGACAATTGGATTTAAATTATTGTTTATTTTGGGAGACAGATGGATTGAAATGATTGTTTATTTTGGGAGACAGATGGATTATGATGAGGCTGAGAGAGAAATCAAGAAAATCCAGCGTCAAGACCAGGCTGCTGGCAAAGAGATCTCAGTGCCAGACCTGGAGCCCTTTAAGATGCCAGAGATCCTGGGCACTATAGACTACATGAGCAAAGGAGTGGCAGACTTCAAGGTTGGTCAAACGTTACAGTTCAGGCTTTTTGTATTCCTACCTGGGCACTATAGACTACATGAGCAAAGGAGTGGCAGACTTCAAGGTTGGTCAAACGTTACAGTTCAGGCTTTTTGTATTCCTACCTGGGCACTATAGACTACATGAGCAAAGGAGTGGCAGACTTCAAGGTTGGTCAAACGTTACAGTTCAGGCTTTTTGTATTCCTACCTGGGCACTATAGACTACATGAGCAAAGGAGTGGCAGACTTCAAGGTTGGTCAAACGTTACAGTTCAGGCTTTTTGTATGCCTACCTGGGCACTATAGACTACATGAGCAAAGGAGTGGCAGACTTCAAGGTTGGTCAAACGTTACAGTTCAGGCTTTTTTTTCACTCAGATTGTAATTTTTTCAGAGTTTTTCAGAAGCTACATTTTGACTGTTGTTTTTATTTTGTCACTCCAGTTGTAATGTTATATAGTATATTTATGTGTTCTGTAAATAAATGCTGAGTACAACTTGGCATTTAAAAAATAATTTCATCACAATATAAATGCTGTGTTGTGCAGAGGCAAATATACATTCAGATTTATTATTTGGGTTATCATTATGTGGTATAAAGAAACGTAAGGACAGAAAAATTTGAAGAATTATCTGTCATACTGAAAGAGGTACCATAAATTGCTGCATACAAGTTGACGTGGTATACAAGTCGACCTGAAGATGTTTAGTTCCTCAAACACAGTTTTTATTCAGATATATTTGTGGCTGTCTGCTGGAGGTAAGGTGAGTAGTGTACAGTGATCGTTAGGAGTGCTGTCCCATTAGTTTACAATCAGGTAACAGTTTACATTTTTAAGATACCCACTGTATAAGTCGACCCCTAATTTTTTAAAGATATTTTAGGCTTGAAAACCTGATTTAACTCTTTGAGTCCCAAATAATGCCTGATGTCTTCTTTTTGTAAACTCTGGTGGAAAGTTCTAGTTGTTTGTCCACTTCTGGACTGCAGTCCTGTTCCAGAACCTGAGTGTTGCAAGTGCATCCATTTGACAGATCTGACTCATATGTGTGCAGACTGTTGGTTCCTTTCCTCTCATGCAGATGCACTCCAACTTCAAAGGAATATGCATGATATGTGCATCACTCTTTCTGCTGAATCCTCTCCCTAGCTTAATATGTTCTCTTACCTTTTTTTTTTAATTTGGTCATAACATACTTATGAAATCTGGCTAAATAATGGTACCACTACTGTCATATTACTGTATTGCACGTAATCCACTGATGAAATTTAATCACGGATATTTCTTCACTAGCATTTCATACAAAACCTTTTGGTACTAAAAGATTTAAATGCCATAATTTGCAGTGAGCTGTAGTTAGCAAAAATTACTGATTTACAGTTAATGTTATGTTCTAGTATTGGTTGTAACTGGAGGGTGTCCAACTCATGCAAATATTTCTATAATCCAGGAAGTGATTCCAGTTATTGGGATTATGTGTAATCCTGGACTGCGGAAACATCACTGGGATGCCATGTCTGAGATTGCTGGCTTCAACCTGACCCCCGACGCAGGAACAACACTGCGCAAAGTTCTCAAGCTTGGACTGGAAGACTACATGGACAAGTTTGAAGTGATCTCTGTGTCTGCAACAAAGGTTTGTGTCTGGTTTTCTTAAACATTGTTGCAAGAATCCATATTTTGTTCTCTCTGCAATAAAGTTAAATTACCCATTTACTTTTGTAAAAGCCGCAGTATTTCAATAGAAAATCATTGATTAAAGGTATGGTGCAGCTTATATTCAAAATACTAGACCTAGCTGTCACTTGTACAAAATGTATTAGTAAACAGTATAATATTTTGAAAAGTACCTGGTGAAAACGATACTATTAATTGACTCCATTTTGCACTGATAAAACCTAGCCTGACTTGTCAGCTAACACTTCCCCATCCCTCCCGCTTTAGTCCTCGCTCTCAGATGACACTTGCCTAACTGAATTGTTTTCACTGCCGTCCAATGAGTTTGAAATGGAGGTGATTTTGAAACTCTTGATGACCATTCCGTCTCGTATGATGTTCCATGCAGCTAAAATCCACTCACAGAATTGAGATAATGAGGCTTCTTCCAGTGCCCTAATAGATTCAGTTGCATTGAACTGCGTCTCTAGATGCCATAGAAATGTCACAAATGAACCTTAAAAGACCTGTTCATGGAAATGTCGAGTGGTTGTAACATGCCAGTCATCCCTCTTGAAATGACAACCATGTCACAATTCTGATGCCACAACGTCTCCATTCACTTTTTTCATCAAACTTCTCACCTAGGTTCCCATACATGATCTTCTTCTGCATTCTTTATTAACTCTTTAAGCACCAGAACATTTAGCTGGTCATTTTCAAGGTAACGATATACTCAGGGAAGGTAAACAACATTTGATAGCATAACTGTCACATATGCAGCAACACAAATAACAAGAGTTATTAGAGTACCTAGCCAGGTTTTCTAGTGTTATTAAGCTAAACACTATTTAAATTGTCAGTGGTTTGGTATTCATGGGCAATACTGATCACACTTGATGCGTTGGTTGGGACTGAAACAGTTAAATAACACTTGGACAGTTGTACTGTGGTTGAAAGCTTGGCATGACATCTACACTTACAGCTCAACAGATCTTGTTTAGAGGCTGTGGGACTGTCCCCTGTCCCCCTGTTTCCATCAAACAGCTTAGGGCCTGGAACCCACATGTAAGTGATGATCCTACAGCTGTTGAGTCTTCAATGATGTTTGCCTAGGTTTGGGAGTGGCAGTTAATTGCTGTGTACCCAGTCATGGCTTTGGTTGAAGGGAAAAGCTATCTCCCTCAGGTCTTCATCACTCATGTCCCTCATGCAGGCATACCTAGCCCCATGCAGTCTCTTTCACTTTTTTCAGTAAGTTTTAAATCTTCTAACTGAACAAAATTATCCTTTATGTTACTCAGTAGATCCTATGTAACTGAATTCATAATGTTCGTATTGTTATGGTCTGACTGTGCTATAAATCTCTGTAGAAGTGCCTCCCCTTTCTATTTTCCTTTTGTCATATGCATACTGTTATATTTACATATTTTACCTACTGTGGTAGGTAAATAATTTCTTTGCATTTTTTTAATGAAGTTTACCTATCCGTTGACTTAACCCTTCAATAAAAGTAATGACATTTGTAAGTGATGTTCTTGCATTTGGGCAGGAGAGTTAGACAGCAAATAGTCCAAGAGTTACAGGTAGCATTGAACAAAGGGACTGGCTGATTTAACTCTTTTGGGCCCACGAATTTTGAAAGACTTGGCCCACATTAATTTCTCTTTACAAAAATGGCAGAGGGGTGGGTGAACAAGAAAGGCTTTAGAGAATGTAATATACTTCTAATCCCTACAAAAGTATTTATTTTTTCAAAGAGAAATGAATGCACACGTTGAATCTGATGATAAGTATGTTTAGTTTTGTTATAGTTAGTAGGAAAGGAGAATTCAGCAGGTGTCAATTTCATAACAACAGCGTTTTACAAACATATTCTTCACTTACCATGGTTTTGCAGCCACAAGAGTAGTAAATATCCAAATTTGAGAACAAAACTTCAAAGTTTGGTCAATTTCCTAACAAATTCCAAAGTTATGATAAGTTTCTAGGTTAGTTTAGCACTCAGGGGCTCTTAGTTCTCACAGAGTGCTGAACAAAATTTGAGAGAAAAACATGGCAGAAAAATGGGCCATTACACACACACTATTAACTACTTACCTTGTATAGTTATATACAATATAGTCATAGACTAGCTGCAATGATTTCAATGTAGCTTAGCCATAGTATATAGTACTGTCTCTTTGGTTGGAGCACTTTCCTTCTCTTACACCATAAATATGGTAGCAATGGGACATCAGAATTGCTAGATTCCCAACAGCTGATCGCTCAGCTTCAGCTGGTGAAAATTCATCGTCTAAATCATTTTCCAAAAAATCTAAATTTTCATTATCATTATCCGAATTAAAAACAACTGAATGAAATAATTTCATAGCTTCGGCCGCAGAAAGACGCACGCTGTGACCAGTTCTTGTAGTTGGAACACTGGTATTCATGGCCCTCAAAAACCGACTTATAAAATGCACTGTTGAAAAAAAAATGTAGCTATGAATCTGATCAATCGATGGATACGGAATGTTGTTAAAGGGAAATTGTTAGTGACTTTCCCTGAATAATTTAATCGTAGTTCCGAACATTAGAAACAATTATGGAGCCGTGTGCAAAGCAATATGTACAGGACACACAATTGACGATGACAGCGTTGTTTGGGCAAAACGGAACTTCTCAATCAACGCTCTCACTGTTGCTCGGGCCTTGAAGAGTTGAGTAGATGAGTGTTATCATCAAGTCAGAAAAATTGCTGTTTTATGGTGTCCTGAAAACTTTTGAATGAGTAAAGTTGGTGTCCCAAGACTTAAAGTTAACAATAGAAACATCAAAAGAGAAAGCAGACTGAAGTACGTGGGTACCACATTCAATAGGAGCCTGTCACTCAGAAGCCAGGTGAAGGAATTTGTAGCATAAGGTCAAAAAGGGCTCAGTGCACTAAAAATTATGGCAGCAATGCAGCAAATGCTGCTCACATTGCACCAGCACTTGATTATTTTGGGGATAAATTATGGATGGACTGCTCACCGTATCGAAGAGTCAACTGCTGAAGCTCAGATGCATACAGAATGAAGCCATGTGAGGGATCCATTGCCTTGTAACATGTCAGTATAGTTGTTAAGGATGTAGAGAGTGTTAAGCATGTGACATCATGAAACACTGCTTCTGTCTGGTGCATGTCAGAAGTCAGGTTGCCATCTTCAAACTGTCATTATGATGTCACCATGTTCATCTACACTGTGATGTCATGGGCTTACCACTCTGGACATTATGGTGCAGATGAACACAATGGCTTAATGACAGTTTAAAGATAGGAGCCCCACTTTTGACACATCAAGGAAGAGTGGTTCTCTGTTGTCTGATTAGTGAAAAAATGAAACCTGTAGAAAATTATCAGATAATGAAGGTTCAGTGTGGTGATGCATGTCTGTCAGCCCAGCAGGTGTGTGAGTGAAGTAGGAGGTTTCAAAATTGGGTGATTTCTGTGACAGATTGCTTATGACCAGGTCATAAGCACGCTGAGTGATGACCCCAAAGTCGATTGCAGCTGCTAAAGGCCTCGTACAGGAAGACCTATAAGTGAGATTGCCGCACATCTTGATGTCGGTGACTGTTCAGCACACATCATCCATGATGACTACAGTACCACAAAGTTCCTGTAAGGCAGGTGTCAGGGCAGCTTACTCCAGGATTGAAACAAAACTGTACTGATGCATTTGTGATGTTTTGAAGCAGAAGGTAATGGATTTCTATCAAGAATTATTACTGAAGATGAAACCTCGGTTTACTACATTAGCCAGAAAAGAAAAAGTGGACAAGGAAGGGTGCCATTATTCCTCAGTGAAACCAAAGATGTTTTGCATGCGGCCATCTGCAGAGAAGGTTGTGCTGACTCTTTAGGGATGAACGAGATGTTATTTCAGAGCCCTCTAGGAGTAGAGGAAAAAACTGTCACCGGTGATTTGCATACAGGAATCATATTCGACCCACAATCAAATCCAAATGAGGAGGACTTCTGAATAAAGGTTTCCTTTTGCAGCATGACAATGCTTATACTGCCCATGCAATGGTTGAACTTTCAAAGTCTTTTACTTTCATACCACATCCCCCGTACCAAACCTTATCCAAAGCGATTTCCACCTGTTTGGACAACTCAGAGAGTCCCTGGTAGGACAGATCTTTTTCATCTGATGAAGAAATACAGGAGGTGCTGCATGAAAGATTTCATGCACAACCAAGAGTATGTTTTTCTACAGCAGTTCCAGCACTTTGTCAGCACTGGAGGACTTGCATGGAACGCAGTGGTGACTACCTAAAAAAAAAAGAAAAGAAACATTTGTTCTTTACTTTTTTATTTCTGAATATATTCCCCCAGGTAGAAAATAGTTTAAGCTTATCATTTAAAACCATATAAGAATACACCCAGCAGTCTGAATTCAATATATCCATGTGCTATTGAATGTCGCAGACAAGCTCCAAGTGCTCACCTCACCTCTCAACTCAACCTACATTTGTGAATGATTCCTTTATATATTGGTGATAGCAATCAGGATACATCATTAAAACAAGATAGTTTTCTTTGAACTGCAATTGAGCTGTTAATTTTTATGTGTACATTTCTGCCTGTGTATTGCAGTGACCCTCACTCAGTCTTTGAAGAAGATGGTTGGCACTTTTGAAATAAAATGCTACAGAAACATGTTTGCACTACCTTTGACCTAGAAGAAAAGAAATGTCAACATCCTGTGGACCTGAACATCAAGGAGAATTGGCTTGTAAACAAAGTTATTTTGAACAATAATATTCGGTGGTGGTCTGGAGAAAACAGTGATGGAGGGTACAGTTTTCAGGAAGTGAGGCAGAGGATGACCACCACAAAGATGGATACAGGACATTGAAGACGCATTGGATATTAAAGAACATAGGGCTAGAGAGTTGACTAGAGAAGAGAGACTTTCAGGGGTGCCATGAAACAACATAGGGCTAGAGAGTTGACTAGAGAAGAGAGACTTTCAGGGGTGCCATGAAACAACATAGGGCTAGAGAGTTGACTAGAGAAGAGAGACTTTCAGGGGTGCCATGAAACAACATAGGGCTAGAGAGTTGACTAGAGAAGAGAGACTTTCAGGGGTGCCATTAAACAACATAGGGCTAGAGAGTTGACTAGAGAAGAGAGACTTTCAGGGGTGCCATGAAACAACATAGGGCTAGAGAGTTGACTAGAGAAGAGAGACATTCAGAAGTGCCATGAAACAACATAGGGCTAGAGAGTTGACTAGAGAAGAGAGACTTTCAGGGGTGCCATGAAACAACATAGGGCTAGAGAGTTGACTAGAGAAGAGAGACTTTCAGGGGTGCCATGAAACAACATAGGGCTAGAGAGTTGACTAGAGAAGAGAGACTTTCAGGGGTGCTATGAAACAATAAAGGGCTAGAGAGTTGACTAGAGAAGAGAGACTTTCAGGGGTGCCATGAAACAATAAAGGGCTAGAGAGTTGACTAGAGAAGAGAGACTTTCAGGAGTGCCATGACAAAAAAGTGATGCTCTGCCAAGGACATGCTGATTGAACGGTTGATTGTTTTAGAGTGACAGAATATAATGTGACATTATCTTTCATAGGAATTCACCCTGGAGAGAGCATTCAACAAGATGATCTCAGAGTGGGCAGATGTGGTCTTCAGTCTGAGTACCTACAAAGGACACTCCGTTAAAAATCTTAGGAGCTGTGGACGACATTCAGACCCTGATGGATGATCACATTGTCAAGACACAGACCATTCGAAACTCACCGTTTGTGAGACCATTTGAGGAGGAGGCCAAGGCATAACAGGTTATTTGTGGGACAGAAGGTTACATTATGTTATAGACATAACAGGTTATTTGTGGGACAGAAGGTTACATTATGTTATAGACATAACAGGTTATTTGTTGGACACAAGACAATGTGTTATAGACATATTTATGGGGCAAAGAGCAATGTGTTATGGACAATAGGACTTTTGTGGGACAGAATGCATGATGTTATAAGTAAGTAAAGTAAAGGACCCTTTCCACGCCTTTAGGCGTATAGGGCATATAGGGCTAGTCCTATATTTTTATAGACCAAGGGCACAAGATGGGTGATGTGGTCAGCATCACGCCGGCCGCCTCTACTTCCCGGGATTGCACCCGGTACCCACTCAAGGCTGGGTCGACCTGGGAGCTAAGGTCATTTTTGAAGAAAAGTCCGTCTCCACCAGGGAGCGAACCCACGACCTTCCGATCCGCGTGCGCGTCTAGCCGCTCGGCCACGGCAACTCCCGCATGATGTTATAGAGGGAGGTAATTGTGTGACAGCTGCTATGTTGTAGACATAATAATGCTTGGACAGTAGGCAGTGTCACACACAGAGAGAGTCAACGTTAAGGACAGTAGGAAGTGTCCCACACACAAAGAGAGTCAACGTTAAGGATAGTAGGCAGTGTCACACACAGAGAGAGTCAACGTTAAGGACAGTAGGCAGTGTCACACACAGAGAGAGTCAACGTTAAGGACAGTAGGCAGTGTCATATGCAGAGAGAGTCAACGTTAAGGACAGTAGGCAGTGTCACACACAGAGTCAATGTCAAGGACAATAGGCAGTGTCACACACACAGAGAGAGTCAACGTTAAGGACAGTAGGCAGTGTCACACGCAGAGAGAGTCAACGTTAAGGACAGTAGGCAGTGTCACACACAGAGTCAACGTTAAGGACAGTAGGCAGTGTCACACACAGAGTCAACATTAAGGACAATAGGCAGTGTCACACACAGAGAGAGTCAACGTTAAGGACAATAGGCAGTGTCACACACAGAGAGAGTCAACGTTAAGGACAGTAGGCAGTGTTGTAATTAGAGGGAGAAGCATGCGAAGCCCCAGGGAGACTACTTTTAAGGGGAACTGTTTGAGACCTTTTTAAGAGTATAACTATTTTTCCTGGCCACAGCTTGGATACTTTTTGAACAGTCTCAAATGGTCGGGTTTCTGCCTGATTGTCCTAGTTAGTGGTAGCATGTTTTCCCCACTTGATGATTAAACTGTACTTTGTTTAGTTTCCTCTCAAAGCCTCTATTAGTGATTCTGTCATATAATTTAATTCCTTCTAACCTTTGAGATTACCAGTTAGTTAATTGTTATTGTCTTATTAATTGTTTCAGTTGTTCTACATGTTTGTATTACAGTAAGCGGTGCTGATTGAACATTTACGGATATTATATTGCTGTCAAAGCTTCTCTTCATCCTTTTCCACCCTATTGTTCAGAAATGGGAAGAGAAACTGCTACACTCACAGCGTGCCATTGATGAATGGTTGAAGATGCAGGCCAACTGGTTGTACCTGGACCCCATCTTCAGCTCCGAAGATATCAACAACCAGATGCCGGAGGAAGGGAAAATGTTCTCCACCGTTGACCGAAACTTCAAGGACATTATGGCCAAGTGTGCCAAGAATCCCCTTGTAGGTGCCAGTCTCTGTAACGTCTGTTTGGTCGAGCAGACATCTTGTTTTCTTGCACTACATTTAATTATATTTGTTTTTGTTTTGGTAATACTCGTTTTTTTCATCCTTCTTTATTTTCCATACTCTTTCAACCTTCTGTCTCCTGTCCTATAGATCCTTCTCTCTTTTCCATTCTCTTTTGGTATTAATCTTTTTCTATATATATTTTGTTTTTGTTGCTTTCATCATTTGCTTTTGTTTTTTTCCTTTTTTCGCATTCTTCCTCTTTTTAGTTTTTCCCCCGTCTGATTCTTCTCTCTTCGTCAACAGCATGCATATGACTTAAGGTTTACCTTACAAGGCAGCTGCCACAAGGTTTACCTTACAAGACAGCTGCCACAAGGTTTACCTTACAAGACAGCTGCCACAAGGTTTACCTTACAAGACAGCTGCCACAAGGTTTACCTTACAAGACAGCTGCCACAAGGTTTACCTTACAAGACAGCTGCCACAAGGTTTACCTTACAAGACAGCTGCCCCATGGTTTACCTTACAAGACAGCTGCCCCATGGTTTACCTTACAAGACAAGACAGCTTGCCACAAGCTGCCCCATGGTTTACCTTACAAGACAGCTGCCCCATGGTTTACCTTACAAGACAGCTGCCACAAGGTTTACCTTACAAGACAGCTGCCCCATGGTTTACCTTACAAGACAGCTGCCCCATGGTTTACCTTACAAGACAGCTGCCACAAGGTTTACCTTACAAGACAGCTGCCCCATGGTTTACCTTACAAGACAGCTGCCCCATGGTTTACCTTACAAGACAGCTGCCCCATGGTTTACCTTACAAGACAGCTGCCCCAAGGTTTACCTTACAAGACAGCTGCCCCAAGGTTTACCTTACAAGACAGCTGCCCCAAGGTTTACCTTACAAGACAGCTGCCACAAGGTTTACCTTACAAGACAGCTGCCACAAGGTTTACCTTACAAGACAGCTGCCACAAGGTTTACCTTACAAGACAGCTGCCCCATGGTTTACCTTACAAGACAGCTGCCACAAGGTTTACCTTACAAGACAGCTGGTTTACCTTACAAGACAGCTGCCACAAGGTTTACCTTACAAGACAGCTGCCACAAGGTTTACCTTACAAGACAGCTGCCCCATGGTTTACCTTACATGACAGCTGCCCCATGGTTTACCTTACAAGACAGCTGCCTCATGGTTTACCTTACAAGACAGCTGCCACAAGGTTTACCTTACAAGACAGCTGCCACAAGGTTTACCTTACAAGACAGCTGCCACAAGGTTTACCTTACAGCTGCCACAAGGTTTACCTTACAAGACAGCTGCCACAAGGTTTACCTTACAAGACAGCTGCCACAAGGTTTACCTTACAAGACAGCTGCCCCATGGTTTACCTTACAAGACAGCTGCCACAAGGTTTACCTTACAAGACAGCTGCCCCGTGGTTTACCTTACAAGACAGCTGCCCCAAGGTTTACCTTACAAGACAGCTGCCACAAGGTTTACCTTACAAGACAGCTGCCACAAGGTTTACCTTACAAGACAGCTGCCACAAGGTTTACCTTACAAGACAGCTGCCACAAGGTTTACCTTACAAGACAGCTGCCTCAAGGTTTACCTTACAAGACAGCTGCCCCAAGGTTCAGAAACCTGTAGCAAACCATTGAATGTAAAATTGTCTATTAAAGCCAAAAATAGCTGCAATGTGTCTCTCTTTTGTACTAGCTCTGGCTCGTACTCAATCGACACTGGCTGTTTTCTAGGGGTCAGACTCACAGGTTAGACGAGGCAGATTTTCTCTCCCAACAAACTACCACACGTCTGCAAATGACAGTTGACGAGGGTTATCTACAGTTCCATGTTTATTCACAATGCTATATAAGCGACAAGAATCAACATTACAGCCTAACACTAACGGCATCCAGGCAGGGTCCACTTGCTTGCACTTTGGATATGCAGCCACGCCACGGTCGGCGCCAACTTGTGCACGGCTGGCACAATCAACAGTCAGCAGGACACTTCCATTCTCGTCAGCTTTACTTCAACAGGACTTTGCTACAACCACTTCACAGCATTTACTCCTGGCCATTCAGGATCAACGTTCACTTCGTTTCTTTCTGGATCCACTTTTGCTCATATCTCTGTGGGGTCCTGTCACAGAATGACTTCCCAGTCAGCTATTCACTCAGATGTCGGGTTCCCAGGTCAGCTCCCACAATCTTGTGTTTTTGCCATTCTCATGTTGTGTCGTGTTCATATCTCTCAATCAAGGGACTTCCCCAGTTCTGTCAGCCAGTCAGCCCCTTTACCTTGTACTTGTTTATAGCATCACTACAATAGCCAACAAATGCTGATCTTGGTTCTCCTATGTCCTCTGAAGGATACACAACTAACTTTAAGTCTAGGTGGGCAATTCTAATAGAAAAATCTGGATTCTCAGACTACATAATCAGCCAGAAAAAAAAAATGATCCGGAAAGAGCTCCTCCTAAATCCAGCACAAATAAAACACCCAATAACAGCAGCAATGGAATCACAGTGGCCAGATTTGTACAGTGTATGTAAAGAAAAAAAAATTTTAAGGTTTCTTAATTTACTCTGACTAAACAATTAAAACAAAATTTAAAAAATACACACAACTGTTGTATGCTGAATCAACATATTGACTTAGGTCGTATCAGTACCTCGTGGATCCCCCCGTCAACAAGCCAACAATTAACATAATAAATGTTGATACCCCAGAATTGAACATGCAACAACAACACACTGATTCGTTAATTTAAAAAAAAAAAAAAATTCACATATTATTGCATTGCAAAAGATTTAAAAAAAAAATAAAAAAGGTAAAGATCAGAATACATAAAAAAATATAACATGGTCAACAGTAGCTTTTGTGACATGCTTCTTATAAACTAAACTTTGAAAACACACAGCAGTGTGAGAAGGGGCAAATATCTACACGGATACAATTAGTGGATTGTTAGAAATGAGGAAACCAGTTGAGTATAAATTCAAAGAGTTAAGTAAACTAAATCTGTTGAAACGCCAGGGTTGCCAGAATTTGTCATGAAACTGCAATAAATAGCACATTAAATATTGCACATTCAGATGTTTCATTCAGTAGTAAGTCCCTTCACCTCGCTGCCATAAGAACTTTTACTTCCTTCAGATGCAAGAACCTGCGTCTGATACACACCATCTGGAGATCAAACACCCAGCCTTCCTATTCCTCTATCCCAGGCATATTTCCATTATTGTTCTCTCTAGACTTCCATGACGTTTCAAGTGACCAAAATATCAATTTCTTTGTTTTATCTTTACTAGCCAACCCTCTGCAACTGCTCTTGAAGTATGGATGCATTTGTTCTTTTCTTTACCCAAGATATTCTTAGAACTTGTCTGTAACATTTATATTCAAATGCATTTATGCATATATTCAGATGTAAGAACTTTTATTCAGATGAAAACATGCTGATTTAGAAAACAGTTATTATTATAATTATTTTGTATGTGTGGCTCATAGAGAGGAAAGATAATTTCTCTGCTATATTTCCTTGCAACTGTATAGGCCAGGATATTTTTTACTCCTTCTTCTGCCTTTTCCCCCTTTTCCATAGGTTCTTTGGTCTGCCCTTATTTCTTTGCCTCTGTGGGTTCCAAAGTAAAGCCTTTCTAAAAACATTCTTCTCAGGTTTTCTCAGCATATGTCCTATCCAAGGTCAGCATCTTTTCCTCACCTCTTGATTCACTGACATTTATTTAAATCTCTCCCAAAGCTCTACATTAGTGATTCTATTATACCATTTAATTCCCTTTATTCTGCGCAGGCACCAGTTAACAATGTTTATGTTTAATAATGGTTTAATTGTTTCTCATTCTTCCACTTCACACAGCAGTATTTGACATTAGAGTTAGCAATGATAAGTTTATTGTTAGTTTAAGTTTCCTTTGACTTCCACACATTTTCTTTTGCCTTTTGTATGCATATATTATATGTATCAGTTCCTCTATCATTATCTACATTTACTGTCCGGGGACATATTTACACATAATAAATGATTTGTGTTGCCAGGTGCTGGAGGCCTGTACTCAGGTTGGAGTTCTAGAGAAAATCATTGACAGTAACGTTTTACTGGACAAGATCAACAGAGGCCTCAATGCCTACCTTGAAAAGAAGAGGCTTTTCTTCCCCAGGTATTTTCACGTTGTTTTACTCTTGACCTCTTCACAGGTGCACAGGCTTCCAGAGAGAATGTTCTGAAACACAAGGCTGGCAGGCAGGCTGATGTGACAATGTTAATGTGTTCATTTCATTATCTCATATTTTTTAACATTTCTTCTTTAGCTTCATTATTATCATCACCAACTCCACCACCATCATCATTATTATCACATCACCATTATGATCACAACTTCGTTATCATTATACAATCATCACATTATTATTGTACTCACTTCTATCGTTATTATCATCAGACCATTATCATTATCTCCATCTTTTCATCACACCATTATCACCACTTCGTCATTATCATTGTAACTGTCATCATTATGACACCATTATCATGACCTCCATCACTACCCTCATTACTGCCAACATTATCATACACTATTATCATCACTTTCATCTTATCATCTCCACCATCATCACACCACCAGCATCATCACACCATCAGCATTTCTCTGGACATTCCCATTAAAATAAATGGGATGCTGAAGTAATCGTATTCTGCTACCTTTCCAGATTTTTCTTTCTATCCAATGATGAAATGTTGGAGATCCTCTCGGAGACCAAAGATCCACTACGTGTGCAACCACATCTGAAAAAGTGCTTTGAAGGCATTGCCAAGTTGGACTTTGATTCTGACCTGGTGATTCACGGAATGTTCAGCAGTGAAGGTGAGGCTGTACAGTTCTCTTACACCATAGACACAAATGAGGCCAAAGGAGCTGTGGAGAAATGGCTGCTGCAGGTCCAGAACTGTATGCTGGTGTCTGTGAGAGATGTCATTGAAGAGGCCATTGAGGTAACTTGTTGGATCGGTTGCTTATTGGTTTGTTGATGATTCGACATAATTGACTGGTGGTTAATGGATTTTCCGCTTAAATAAGCAGCATCAATATTGTCTCTTTGAAATTAAATTCCTACTTTTTCACTGTGGTTATTGTGCTTTTAGACACCTGCTACAAAATCTTCTGGGACTGAAAGAATTAAATGTTAAAAGTTGTTTCCCACCTCTAACCAGACAAAGCTGATGAAAATGTTGTTTTGCTATTTCTTTTTCGAAGGTCATGTTTTATGTTTTTACTCTTAAGCAGATGTTTTGTTTAGTGTAAGAATTTCAAAAAAAATTGTATGACTTTTCTATTTCATATGTTTAAAGGAATACCAAAACACGCCCAGAAAGCAATGGGTGCAGGAGTGGCCTGGTCAAGTGGTCATCTGTGTCGGGTCCATTTTCTGGACACAGGAAGTACACGAATCCATTGGCATGGGATCTGATGGTTTGAATGCCTACCTGAAAGTGCTGCATGACCAGCTGGGAGATATTGTTGACCTGGTCAGAGGCAAGCTGACCACTCAGCAAAGGATCACTTTGGGAGCTCTGGTTGTTATTGACGTCCATGCCCGCGATGTGGTTCATGACATTGCTCTCAAAGGTATCTACATCCTTGATGTTGACCAAATGCCTTGATGTTTGACCTAATGCCTTGATTCTTACCTAGAGCCTTGATTTTGACCTAAAGCCTTGATTTGTATCTTGACTTTGACTTATAGCCCTGATTTTGCCCTAAAGCCTTGATTTGTATCTTGACTTTGACTTATAGCCTTGATTTGTATGTTGACTTTGACTTATAGTCCTGATTTTGCCCTAAAGCCTTTACTTTGACTTAAAGCCTTGATTTTGACTTAAAGCCTTGACCTGCTGCCTTGATTTTGACCTACAGCTTTGATTTTGACTAAAAGAAAACCCTTGATTTTGACCTACATCCTTGATTTTTAGTTAAAAAAAACCTTGATTTTGACCTACAGCCTTGATTTTGACTTTTTAAAAAAAAAACTTGATTTTGACCTACATCCTTGATTTTACTTTATGTTGCTTGAGAAGGGAAATGTACATGTCAAAATAGTTGAGCCTTTATTCTTACATTCAGATTGTCCTAGGTTCACTTTCGGGCGATACCATCAATTCATAAGTGTATTTTTAATTTTTTTAAAGATCTCTTATGATCATCACTAAAATTGGTGCAAGAAAACTTCCTGGGAGGTGAAGGTGGCTAGGGAGATGTTGACCACATCACCAGTTAAGTGTTGATTGGTCTGTTTAAAAGTAAGGGCAAAGCACCATATGCAAATTGCACCATGGGCATAAAAAGAACCTGTTAGGTAACTGTTAGCGTACGGAACTGATGAAAAACTTCCCAGATTATCAGCTTCATCATGGGCATGAAAAGATCCTGTTAGGTAACTGTTAGCATACGGAACTGATCAAAGATGGTTCAGGCATCAAAGACAATGCAGTCGTCAAAGATAGTGCAACAGTCAGAGATAGATTGTGCAACAAATATCAAAGATGGTTCAGGCATCAAAGACATTGCAGTCATCAAAGATAGTGCAACAGTCAGAGATAGATTGTGCAACAAATATCAAAGATGGTTCAGGCATCAAAGACAATGCAGTCGTCAAAGATAATGCAACAGTCAGAGATAGATTGTGCAACAAATATCAAAGATGGTTCAGGCATCAAAGACATTGCACTCATCAAAGATAGTGCAACCGTCAGAGATAGATAGTGCAACAAATATCAAAGATGGTTCAGGCATCAAAGACAATGCAGTCATCAAAGATAGTGCAACTGTCAGAGATAGATTGTGCAACAAATACCAAAGATGGTTCAGGCATCAAAGACAATGCAGTCGTCAAAGATAGTGCAACCGTCAGAGATAGATAGTGCAATCATCAGAGATAGATTGTGCAACAAATATAAAAGATTGTTCAGGCATCAAAGACATTGCAGTCGTCAAAGATAGTGCAACCGTCAGAGATAGATAGTGCAACAAATATCAAAGATGGATCAGGCATCAAAGACAATGCAGTCGTCAAAGATAGTGCAACCGTCAGAGATAGATAGTGCAATCATCAGAGACAGTGCAGTCATCAGAGACAGTGCAATCATCAGAAACAGTGCAGTCATCAGAAACAGTGCAATTATCAGAGACAGTGCAATCATCAGAGACAGTGCAATCATCAGGGACAGTGCAATCATCAGGGACAGTGCAATCATCAGAGACAGTGCAGACATTAAATACAACACAGTCATCAGAAATAATGTAAACGTCAAAGATGGCGCAGTCATCAAAATTAGTGTAGGTAGTGCAATCATTAAAGACAACATCATCATCCAATATAGTGCAGTCATCAAAGACAGTTATCTAAGACAGCGCAACAATCAAAGACAGCGAAGTCGTCAAAGACAATGCTTCCAAGAAAAATAAGGAAAAGAATTTCATTGTGTAAAGGTTTGCTAAAGAAAGTTTCAGCCTTTGCTAAAGGAAGTTTCAGAACATTTTGTGTGTGTAAATGTTGTCCGTTGCTAATGGAAGTTTCGAAATAATTTTTTTTTTTGTGTGTGATCATTATAATACTATGTTTTTATGTTTTGAAAATTACTTTTAAGGCTTAGCTTTTTTAATTTGGACGCATACAATTGTAATTTATTCTCTGTAATGCTCTTTTTGAACGTAGGAGTGAGTGCTGACAATGATTTTGCCTGGTTGTGCCAGCTGAGATATTACTGGGAGGAGAACAACTGTTTGGTGAGGATTACCAATGCAACAGTCAAGTAT